GATGTAATATCATATTTATCTGAGTAAAGCCAAGTGCCAGGGGCCTAAGTGGTCACCTTAATATTAAAAAAAAAAAAAAAAGGAAATCAGCAGATTTAAAAATTCAATGAATATAAACTAGAGTGTAACATATCGATTTTACTTGTACAATTTTTAAATAAAAAAGGTTGAGTTACAAGTAACAAATTAATATAAATTTATACATCTAATTTTATATAATTAAATACATATAATATATATATTTGTTATAATAGAATGAGTGTTCATAATTCAAAATTATTCAACGTCTAGAAAGTATGCATTACAGATTATTTTCAGTTAAACATATTTTTAATTATTAAAATACTCTATATTATCTTATTCTATTAGATTACAAATTATTAATTTTCTAAAACTAAATTTTAAAGATTTTATTCTGACTTAATTATTGAATGAGTTAAATTACAGAGGTAACCCAATTTTTTGTGGATGTGCTAGGAAAATTTGATATAATTCACTTAAACATGTTATTAGTACATGTGAACTTCAGGATGATAACTCCGAAGTTCAATTATAAAGCAAAATGTAATATATATAATACATATGCACATACGTACTTACATAGAAACCAAAAAGTTATCTTAATATTATACTCTTATTTATAATATTTCTTAATAGTCTTATTTAAACATTATAATATTTATTTATTTTATTGCTTAAATGCGCTATTTTATTATTACAAAAATACATAAATATAATCATATAAGTATATAAACTTAAAAATTCAAAAAAGGCCTATAGATATAAATTCTAGGCATCAAAAAAAATTGAAAAATCAGTTTAGCCAATTTTTTTAGAATCACTAAACAAGATGGATTAAAATATTATAAACCAAAAAAGTATGATAAGTGATAAAGATGTTTATTTGCAAAGCGAAGCTAAAGATTCAAATTTAATGCTAAGTGATGGTATGTATCAAACGAAAATTTTCTTGACTACAGCAATTTAACGATTTGAAAAATGCCATTATCAGGATTATCATTAGAAATAAAGAAGTTGGTGAATAAAAATTAAAGTTATGAAATAATTTCACTACTATTAGTGAAATTTGTATTAAATTGTGAAATTGATGAAACTAATTTCACCAGCATTATTTCTAATTTTGTAGGATAACCTGAGACAAGCAGTGTTGTTACTAGCCTTAAGTCCAATACTCTTTTTTAGCCTTAGCAGTAAGTCCATTTAGCCCTAGCCTTAGGTCCATTTAACCCTAGCCTTAAGTCCGATTGGTTCAAATCAAACAGTTTCTATGTCCAAATAAAAACACTGAGACAAGATATCTATTTCCCATGAGGATTAGTATCGTTATGATGAGTGTAATATGCAGAATTACTATTACCTAATCCAAATTTAAAATAAATAATAATGCTGTAATGTAAGAATTTCATATATAAATAATATATTTTACCTTCTAGAATATCGATATTTATTTATACGCAATTATTAGATACCTTTAGATGTATGTTATACTGTATATAGTTTGAATAAAAACATTACGCAATAGTTACATTGAATTCATATTTACCTGGATTTTTTTTTCATTTTGTATTAAGTTATTATATCACGTATATTTATCAATCAAAATTTTCATTTTTATATTTACCTTGAAAGAATTGTTGGTTACAATGTAGATATTCTGGATACAATGTTGGGGTAGTTACAAATATCGGATCCCAATTTCTCACTTCATTTTGTGAACCATTTGCTTGACTTTGCTGGTCTATGCCATATTAGGAAAGAAATGACCAATGTAATGTTTCAAGTTTCACGTTATTATGATTCAAACTATAGAAATCAAAAACAATGAATCGGTATGATCAGTAATTGGTACAAACCGAATAATGAACTCAGCCCATAGAATGGTAGCCAACCTAGAGCATCAACAGTTATTAATATTATATACAAAATAAAGTTTGTTCGAACAATGGCTACAACTTCTTACTATTAAAGATATTTTGATAGCTTATGAGTGGATCATCTGGATTTTCTTACATAATAATATATATGTGTGTGTTAGTATTTATTTTTATGGAATTATCTACATATATGAGAGTAAGTCTGTAAAAATCACCAAATTTTTTAAAATTTTGATTAATACTATAAACTTATAGAATTTATTAAAAAAATTCCACTAAAAAAACGTTGGTTGATGTGTTTTACTGACTCACTTCCACATAACACAGTAATATACTACATACTATACCTGCATACTCATCTGGATTAAGTTGAGGTAAAATTCCTGGACCTAACAT